ATTTATATATTTTGGTCTTTTTGAGACAGGGTCTCCCTGTAGCCCCAGCTGTCTTGGAACTTACTATGTAGACCAGGCTAGCCTTGAACTCACAGAGATCCACCTGCCTCTGCCTCCCAAATGCTGGGATTAAAGGCGCGCACCACCATGCCCAGCTCTAAAATTATTTATTTTTATTTTACGTGTATGAGTGTACTGCCTGCCTGTATGTAAGTTCACCCACCCACCTGCAGAGGTCAGAAGAAGGTGTAGGATCCCCTGGAACTGGAGTTAGGTACAATTGTTAGCAGCCATGTGGGTGCTGGGAACCAAACCTAGGTCCTATGCAAGAGCAGCCAGAACTCTTAACTGCTGAGCCATCCCTCCAACCCCTAGAATGAGTATTTCTCAACACCGAAGTAGCCACACAGGTTGTTTTCCTGTTTTTCTCTATGGCTTCCAGTATGAATGTCAGGATTAGAACTAGTTCTTCCTTCAAATTGTGTAATTGCTCTCAAGTTCCTTTTTCTTCCAAGACGGTGTTTCACTCCATAGCTTGTTCAATAGCTCCTTACTTTTCTTGTAAGGACTTATCATGGCACTGAGCTCCCTGTGTTATAGGGCAAATTAATACTGCATAGTTTACATGAAATTTTTATAAGTCCTTATTGCATTTATCCTTGATCTACCCTCTTACCTCAACTTGCACATTTTTAATTAATTTAAACCTTACTTTAAACATGTAGAGTTTGAGCTGTGCATGGTGGCACATGCCTTTAATCTCAGCACTCAGGAGGCAGAAACAGGCAGATCTCTGTGAGATTGGGGCCAGCCTGGTGTGCATAACAAGCCCCAGGCCAGCAGGGGCTACAGGGAGACTCTTATCTCTAAACAAACAAATGAGAGAGAGAGAAAGAATATGAATACGAGAATGAGAATATAGAGTTATTTCTTACTACAGAGATGAGGCCCAGACTCAAGCATACTTGTTAGGTCTGGACTTTGTCAGAGACTGGAGGTTAATGGGAACTGATGGTACACAGTGGGGCTAAGACACTGTGCACACATTTCTGATGGTGCCCTAATGAAAACTACCTGGTTACGTATATCACTTGTCTCACTGGATGCCTGGTGAATTTGTTCAGCCTGTTTTAGCCTTAAACTTGCCTTGAATTTTATGGCGTGACCCTTCTTGGATGCTCTAGATGAAAATTACACAGCCGGTACCCTAGACTTGGTTAGACATGTAGAAGGTGGGAGGCATTGCCCTCCACATGCATAGGAGCTGGGCAGCTGCAGTGGGCATCCACATGGGAGGGTTCCATTGCCCTTGAGGTCACCTAGAGGATTTCAAATGCAAGCTCTGTAGAGTGATGGGGAAACTTAGGGTAAATCAGAATGGCTTTATCCCATATCTTGATCTATGAAATGATTTTGACACTAGGTTGAAACTCCATCCTGCTTTAGTTGTGTTTCTCTGGTCCCTGGGGCCAGGATTTCCTCGTGCTCCTTCTGACCGTCCTCCAGGGAAGAAAATGGCCTTCTCAGAAAGCCTGTCCTCTCATGATTCTTTTCATATACTGTTTTCTCAGGAGTCTGCTTTGTAAAGACAGGAATCAAGTGGAGGACTGATCACTCTGAGGAGCTTTAAATCATGGCCCATGTGAGTTTGAATTGTCTCAAAAACCACAATTTTATTTCTCAGAATATTAATATTGTTGTCACTTTTTCTACAACTGCTTAACCTAAACCACTTTGCAGTGGTAAGTGATAGTTGTGAAACAGTGTAGTGCTTTCCCCAGACATTACTTGTGTTTTCTAACTGATAGTCTCTAGTTCCACATGGCAACCAGTAGCTCCTGATTGAAGAAGAATATATTTCTAAAGAGGGAATACTAGAGTTTGATTTCCACACTGTGGCTTAACATGGTAGAACTGAGTGGTTAAAGGAGACAGACTATAAGAACGTTTTTATTTATTCTACATGTAGAATGGAGCACTTTAGTCAGTCAGGATAAAACTTGAAGGTGTTTAATATTCATTTCAGCATGTGGCACTTTGTGATGCTTTTAGAGGTTATGATGGAAACACTGAGTTTACAGAGATCAGGGAGATTACCAGGAAATCAGCAAGACATTTACTGATTGGCAATTGCTTACAGAGAGCCTATACATTCTGCCTAGAAAATCATATTTAATTTGGGAATATATCTGTAAGGAATTCTTTAAAATGATGGAAACTTGAACAAAAGTAGCTTACACTAAAAGAGCCAAAGGGAAAAAAATGGGCAGCCCATAAAATAACCACAGTTTGTCATGTAAGACATACATCTGGAGTTGGTGACTTCAGACAGGTCTAGCCTGCCCGTGATGTCAGCCCAAAGTGCCTGTGATGTCTTTTCTGGGCTGCTATCCTAGCGTCTTGGTGTTCCTATGTGCAGGGTCTGATGATGCAATGACCAAGCGATTTTTCAGAGCCTGTGGGCCCTCAGCTTTATAGTCACACTTACCTCCATATCTTTTCCTTCCATACCACATGCTGCTAGCTCTAGGCTTTGTTCATCATATGACCCCGTTCCCTGCTGTGCCCTTTCCCATCTAAATCATTTGTTTAAATTTTTACCATTAGCATTTGGGTTTGTCCTTTGGCAGGTAATGACATTCAGGGATGTGGCTATAGATTTCTCTCAAGAGGAATGGGAATGCCTAAACCCGGAACAGAAGAATTTATACAGAGATGTGATGTTGGAGAACTACAGCCACCTTGTCTCAGTGGGTAAGACTCAGAATTTAACCTGGAAAATTTCTGTTTTCTGTTGTCAAGTACTGGCTTGTTTTTCATATGCCGAGGGAATTTCTGACCTGTGCTTCCTCTGGGAAAATGGCTTCTGTTTTGTGTTTTCCAAAGAGAGTAGTCATCATTGGGGACTGTGTGTTAATCATCCTTTAGGAATGCTTTGTGCCTTTTCCTGCCCTTCCTGTCATTGTCACTCCTTACTAACCAAGACACTGGAAGCAAATTTTGGAACCTTTACCCATGTAGTCAGTCATTTCCCCATATTTTATCTTACGTGCAGGACTTTGCATTTATCAACCACATGTGTTCCCCATGTTGGAAAAAGACCAAGATACCTGGATGGATTTAGACAAGACAAGAGGATTTTGCCCAGGTGAGTGAAAGCTGAGCTGGCACAGGCAGTCATCATTACAGATGATAGTCTGGCTGCTGGGTGTGTCAGTAGTGCTTTAGAATATCAATTTGGAATAGCCTTTCCTTCCCCAAAGGCCTTTGAGGAGACATGAAACATATACAGAGCCTTTTCTGAGATACTGTTCACTCTGGATACCACCTATAGCATTCCCTCCCATAGCCAAAGTTAAGTGCCAGTCTCTCTGTCTGGCAGTTAGTATTTTATGAATGATTTAGATCAAGCTTTCCTATCTCTTGCTCTTTACCTTTTTTCATTTAGATATTTATAAATTTCTTCTTTCCCTAAAAAATTGTGAACATACTTGTTTTAGCTACTTTCAAATTCCTCTCCCTCCTTTCTTTCCTCCTGTCTTTCTTCCAGGTTTGTGCCACCACATCCAGCCTTCTTGAATTTTTTAATTTTATCTACTTTCTCCCTCCTCAGGTGTTTCCTGCATTCATTAGGTCATATTTTAAACCAACAGTTACCAGTTTTCTAATTTCACTTTAGATTTAGAAGTGTAAACTAAGAGTATATATTAAGGAAACTTTTGTTTCTGTGACAGGATCATATTCAGAAATGTTGCATAAGTTACACATTAAAAGAACACTTTTTAGGTTACTTTGCTGAAAGTCAGAATAATACATTCAAAACAAGTTTTGGTCACTTAGGAGAAAGTACCTGAAAAGAAGTTAGGGTCATCCCAACACTTGGGAGGCAGAGGCAGGCAGCTCTCTAGGGTTTGAGACCAGCCTGGTTTACATAACGAGTTCTAGGCCAGCAAGGGCTACATAGTAAGACCTGTCTCAAACACAACAGCAACAACAACAAAAGTGGTTAGGGTCCAAAAAAGACAAATGCCAGCTTTTCTACTTCCCTGTATTTCCCATTTTTCTTCTTTGTGGGTGATGCAGCCCTGTCATTGTTCACTATTTAGTGTGCCTGGTACTTTGTAAAAATAGTGTAGTAGGGCCAGCATGATCTCATCAAATAAAAGTGCTTTCCATGCAAGCCTGAAGATTTGAATTCAGTCCTTGAAACACATGGTGGAAGGATAGAACTGTCTGCTGAAGATTGTGCGTTGACTTCCACATGGGTACCATGGCATGTGTGTGTCCACAGTCCGTTTCTCTCTCTCTCTTACATACCTTGTGTGCTTTAGCATTTGCTTTTGTGGGCATTTTATTTCTTTTTAGACAGTAAAACGGTATGTATTTACATTCTTATCTTTCAGATACGGATTCCTCATGGCAGGTGAAGTTACTACCAAAACATAGCACATTTTCAAGGGAATTATCCCGGTGGGAAATAATGGAAGTTGATATAAGCCACAGCCTTGAAGGTTCATGTCTTAGAGGTGATTGGGAAGACAAAGGTGAGGGTCAAACACAAAATGAAAATCAAGAGGAATGTTTTCAGCAAATGACTCTCACTTATGAAAATCTGCCTACTTTGAACCAGCTCACAGCTTTGAATCAATATCCAAAGCTAAATATAGAAGAGAAATCAAATGAATACAAATATGAAAAACCCTTTAGTTTTGGCCCAGACCACACTCAGTATCAGTTAATTCACACTGGTGAGAAATTCAGGGAAGATGTGGAATGTGGGAAGACCTTTCCTCCTGCTTCCACACTTACTCAATATCAGAAAGTTCACACTGGTAAAAAGAAAACATATCAGTGTGAAGAATGTGGCAAGGCTTTTAGTTTTCGTTCAAGTCTTACGGGTCATAAGAGAATTCATACTGGGGAGAAGCCCTTTAAATGTAAGGAATGTGGGAAGGCCTTTAGGTTTCATTCACTGCTCAGTGTCCATGAGAGGATTCATACTGGTGAGAAGTCTTACGAATGTAAGGAATGTGGGAAGTACTTTAATTACAGCTCAGACCTTACCCGGCATCACAGAATTCATACTGGTGAAAAACCCTATCACTGTAGGGAATGTGGAAAGGCCTTTAGTTGTGGCTCAGACCTTACTCGTCATGAGAGAATTCATACTGGTGAAAAGCCCTATGAATGTAATGAATGTGGAAAGGCTTTTATTCAGCAGTCACATCTTATTAAACATCAGCGAATTCACACTGGTGAAAAACCTTATGTATGTAAGGAGTGTGGGAAAGCTTTTACATGTGGGTCACAGCTAACCCAACATAAGAAAATTCATACTGGTGATAAATTGCATAAATGTAAAGAATGTAAAAATGCCTTTAGTTTTGCCTTAGATCATACTCAACGTCAGTTAATTTACATTGGTGAGAAATTCATTGAAGATAAGGAAAATGGAAAGACCTTTTTGCCTGACTCAGAGCTTATTCAGTATCAGACAATTAATACTGGTAAGAAAATATATGAATGTAAAGAATGTGGCAAGGCTTTTAGTTTACGTTCCATTGTTAGTGGTCTCAAGAAAATTCATAATAGGGAGAAATCTTTTAAATGTAAGGACTGTGAGAAGGCCTTTCGTTGCCCCTCAGACCTTGCTCGACATCAGAAAATCCATACTGGTGAAAAGCCCTATAAGTGTAAAGAATGTGATAAGGCATTTATTTGTAGATCAGACCTTGGTCGACATCAGAGAGTTCATACAGGTGTAAAGCCTTATGTATGTAAGGAATGTGGTAAAGCTTTCACTCGTGGTGCACACCTAACTCAACATCAGAAAATTCACATTAAGAAATCACATGAATTCAATGAAGATGAAAAGGCCTTTAGTTCTGGCTTAGAGCATGCTCAACATCCATTAGTTCATACTGGTGAGAAGTTCTGGGAAGATAAGGGATATGCAGAGAATTTTCTTCATGATTCAGAACTTCCTCAATTTCAGACTGCTAAGACATCATATGAATATAAAGAGCGTGGCAGGGACTTCAGTTGGCATTCAAGTGATAGGAATCTTAAGACAATACATATTAGGGAAAAACGTTTTCAATGTAAGGAATGCCCAAAGGCCTTTAGATATAGCTCAGAACTTACTCGACATCAGAGACTACATACCGGTGAAAAGCCCTATAAATGTCAGGAATGTTGGAAGGCATTTGCTTCTGCTTCTGACCTTGCTCGACATCAGAGAATTCATACTGGTGAAAGGCCCTATGAATGTAACGAATGTGGGAAAGCCTTTATTCAGCAGTCACATCTTATTAAGCACCAGAGAATTCACAGTGTTGAACAGCCCAAGGATGTAATGAATGTAGAAAAGCCTTTAGTCAGTGGTCACATGTTATTAAACATGAGAGAATTCACACTGGTCAATAATCTTATAAATGTAAGGAGTGTTGGAAAGATTTTACTCATGGCTCAGCTATGTCAGCAGACTTACACTGATGAGAAATCCAGCTGATAATAGTGTGTAGAAAAGCCTGTTTTTGTGGTGCAACTCTTACCAAACATCAGAGTGTCCATGTTCGTAAGAAGCCTATGTGTGTGAGAAATTTGGGAAAGCCTTCCACACCACTGAATTCACGGTGGTAGGAAATCTTGCTAGTATAAGCAATGTGGAAAGACTCATCTTGAGTTCATATCTTTCACAATGTGAGAAAATTCACATGCGGAAACTGAATATAAGGAATATGGGGAGACCTTTTTTCATGGCTCAGAATTTAATAGACATCAGAAAATTGGGTTGGCAAAGTACATGCAACACCAGGAATGTGGAAACATTATTCATGATTCAAAACTTAACTGATAACACATACTGAAGAGCAGTGTAAGTGAAGAATGTGGAAATGCCTTTCAGACTCACAACTTACTTGACTTTAGAGAATGTATACTGGCAGGGGACCTTACTTACATAAGAATGTGGAGCATCCTTTACCTGGCACTCATCCCTCCAGGAAATTTATACGGATGCAGAACCCTATAAATGTAAGAAAAGTGGCCAGACATTTAGTCATTGTATAAACTTTGCTCAACAACTGGAGATGTGTCCTTTGTATGGTGTGATACCTAGGCCATGTGTGTGTTGTGCAAGTACTCTACTTCTGAATCCTCGGCCCTTAGAATACTTGACTTTTGAGGAAACCTATGAAGCTAAAGATATTGATACAAGAACTTGCTTTTCACCATTGTAAAGTCTCATGATACCAAAATAAGAAAATCAATGTATTTATGACTCTGAATTATTTTTAGAAATTGTTTCAATGACCTTTTGACAAAACAATATGACTTTCATCAGAAGTCATGGTGCATGGTGTAATCAATGTTAATTTAGGCTATTATTTATATTACCATAATGATGCCTTAGTATAAGAAGTTGCATATAGCTCCTTTTTTTATTTATTTATTTATTTTTTGGTCTTTTTGAGACAGTAGTCCCAGCTGTCCTGGAACTCATTATATAAAGTCAGTCAAACAATATATAGTTCTCTGCAATTAACAACTTTCTCCTCTTCCTCCTCCTCCGCCTCTTCCTCCTCCTCTTCCTCTGCCTCCCAAGTGCTGGGATTAAAGGCGTGCACCACCATGCCCGGCATAGCTCCATTTTTGAGTATGTGAAATGTTAATGTAAATATGTAAAATATGAGACCCAACTTTTTTGTATGGTTTCCTTATTTTCTAGGAAAGCTTATAAGTGCTTTTTTTTTTTTTAATACAATGCTGAAAATAAAAAATAGTTAAAATTGCATTTAAAATAAAGTCATGTGAGGACCTGGGTTTTTAGCTCAGTTGGGAGAGTACTTGCATAGCATACACAAAGCCCTGGGTTTTATCTCCTGCTGTGCATGATTAGGCGTGTGGGCTCATGTTTCTCATCCTAGCACCTAGAAGGTGGAGGCAATCATACATGGACTACATAGTGTGAGATTAAGGCCAGCCTGGAATACATGAGAGTGTCTCAAAGAAGAAAGAAAATTAACTGAGATTAAGGTTACAGTATATATGTGTATACACACACACCTACACACTTGTAGGCTTATTTAGCATAATTACAATTGAAAAGTTTCAATTACAAAGGTAAATTAAAAATCACAAGAGATGAACCCAACATTTGAGGAAAGAATCAGGCCATGCTAGGTAGGTACTTGTTGAAGCTTTTGTGTCAGTGTATGAGAATTCTGGATGATGAACTAAGAAATGGTGATTAAGTGTACATATTTCCAACATTTAAGGTCATCTTTAATGTGTATGTCATTCTCAATTTTTTGTCATCTATGGAACTTCAAAGTTGGAGAAATTTTGTCAGATAACTGTATTATAATATATAATAAACAAGCCATATCTGTTCATTCAGGCTGACTGATATTTTTAAAAAACATTTCAGTCTGTGTCTATGTGTGTCTGTGCCTGTGCATGTGCATGCCAGAAATGCACATGTGTAGGCCAGAAGAGGGTGTCAGATCTGGAGCAGGGGTCACAGGTTGTGAGCCACCCAACGTGGATTCTGTGAACTAAACTTGGGTCCTCTCAAAGCACCCTGTGCCCTTATTTGCTGAGCCATCTCTCCAACACCTAGATTTATTTTTTTTTAAGATGACACGCACTTTTAGAAAAAAAATATCATTTAGAAGTTACTTGATGAAACCTTTCCCCCATTACTTGTTCTGATCATCCATTTATAAATAAGTATGATTTATTCTTTTTTCCTTTGACTGAGGCTGCTCCTTGAGTTTGTGACAGCTGGTACTGTCTTCTTCATGGTGAATTTCTGGGTCTCACTGAATAGCTTGAGGTGTATGATTCTTGAACCTTTACCCAATTACATATTTTTAATATAATAGTCTACCACATGAATAGAGAAACAGCTCTTTGCCCTACCCACTCTTGCAAGAGCTATTCTCTTGGAACTATTTTCCTTTTTGTTGTTGTTGCTGTTGTTGTTGTTTGCTTTTTAGTGTTTAGATACCTCCTTTTAATTTTATTTGTATGGGGAGGGTAGGGGCAGAACGGCACATGCATACCATGGCACTCATGTGGAGGTCAGAGGACAACTTGTGGGAATCCATTCTCCTACCATGTGGGTCCCAGGGATCAAACTCGGGTCATCAAGGTTGGTGGCAGTTCCTTTACCCACTGAGCTATCTCTCTGGTCTCTGAAACCGTTTTTGAAAAAGCTTTTTATCCCAGCACTTGGGAGGCAGAAGCAGGTAGATCTCTATGAGTTTGAGCCCAGCCTGGTCTACATAGCAAGCTGGGGCTACAGGGACACCCTGTCTCAAAAAGCCAAAAAAAAAAAAACCTTTTCAATAATGTTGATGTATCTCAATAACTTTTTTTTGTCATTTTGAGACAGGGTCTCCCTGTAGCCCCAGCTGACCTGGAACTCACTATGTAGACCAGGCTGGCCTTGAACTCACAGAGATCCACCTGCCTCTGCCTCCCAAGTGCTGGGATTAAAGGTGTGTGCTACCATACACAGTTCAACCATGGGCTTTTGACCAGACTTACAGTTCCAAGCATGAATCCCCTCAATTCCAATTTTTAAAAAGCAGTTGGTTTTCTTGATAACAGTTGTGTTGCTGTTGTACCATTAGGCACATCTTGCCTGATGGGTAGGTATTGCAGCACACACTGTCCACTGCTGGGTATGACGGTGGATGACTTCACCACTGGCCTGCACAGCACCTGGCACTATAAAAGCTAGTCAGCATGGAGGAAACTTCTAATTCAGCTCCAGCTAGATTTCTCTTATTTCCTGCAATCAAAGTGCTTTGTATCTTCAGCAATAAGATCTAGTTCTTTTTTTTTAATATTTTAATTTTTATTTTATGTATTTGCATGTATTGCCTGCTTGTAGGTAAGTGCACCCATGTCCTGCAATGCCTGTGGAGGGCAGAAGAGACTGTTGGAGCCCCTAGAACTGGAGTTACAGACAGTTATTAGCTGCCATTTGGGTGCTGGGATTCGAACCCAGGTCTTCTGCAAGAACAGTGTTCTTAACTGCTGAGCCATCTCTCCAGCCCTTTATCTAGTTCTTATGGGAAACCAAGAGCAATGACAATACCTTGTTGACAATTCATACAAAAAGCAACTTGGGGGCGGGGTTGGAGCAGGGAGGTGTTTTGGCTTATACTCCCAGGTCATAGTCTATCACTGAGTGACCTGGAAGCAGATCTATTTGCTATTCTGCACAGCATTACCTCCAACCAGGGAACTCACAGCCAAGGAAATACAGCAGAAATCATGGGGGAATGATGCTTGGTGGTTCGCTTGCAGGTGTATGCTGAGCTAGCTTTCCTTTTTTATTTTTCATTTTATTTTTTTATCTTTTTGAGACAGGGTCTCTCTCTCTGTAGCCCCAGCTGTCCTGGAACTCACTATATAGACCAGGCTGGCCTTGAACTCACAAAGATCCGCCTGCCTCTGCCTCCCAAGTGCTGGGATTAAAGGCATGTGCCACCACGCCCAGCTTCCTTTTTTTATTTGTGTGACACCATCTCACTATGCATCCCTAGGTGATTGATCTGGAACTTGCTATGAAGACAAGGCTGGCCTCAAACACACAGAGATCCACCTGCCTGCTTAGGTAGCTTTCTTGTACAGCTCAGGACTACCTGCTCAGGGAATGGTGTTGCTCACATTGGGCTGGGCCCTTCTACATCAATTAGCAGTCAAGGCAATCCCTGTATAAAGAACATTTCATGGGGCTGGAGAAATGGCTGAGAGGTTAAGAGCATGTACTGCTCTTCTATGGACCCCAAGTTCAGTTCCCAGCACCCATATCAGGTGACTCACAACCACTTGTAACCCCAACTCCAGGAGATCCAATACCTTAGGGCCTCCCTCTGAACCTGCACTCATGTGCGGATACACACACTCCACAATTTAAAAAAATAAATTTTAGTTAATTGTAGGAGGCTAGGCATGAGACCAGCAGCACAGGCACACCCTGCTTCCTGTTGATGAGCAGGAAGATGCTGACCGGAAATCTGCCCCTGCAGCTAGAAACCAACACATCCACAGCTCCAATAGAAGGATGCCAACAGGACATAAGGGACCAATGGGAGGAGGAAAGGGGGTATAAAGGAGACACCTGTGTTCAACAATAAATGAGCTCACTTGTACATTGCCTAGTGAGTGTCCCGGATTCTGTGTTGTTGACTTCGCACCTACTTAACCCCTGCCTCCGTGGGGAGGAGGTCAAAGGGACCTTGGCTGCAACATCTGGTGCCCAACGTGGTAGATGGATCCCGCACTGATCTTGGAAATCTACACCCTTTTCGTTTTTCTCTTCTGAATCGTCATTTTTACAATCTGCTGCGCCGACTGCACCCGCCCCTGACCTTTCCCGCTCCTCTTGATCAACACACTTCTTGGTGTCCCCTTTGGCTCTTTTCTCAGTAAGTAGGCCCCTTTCTGTTATTTGTTATTTGCCTTCGGTCCGGTGAGTGACTGAGGCCCATCTCCTCTTCTCATTTGTCCATGTTTGTCTGTCCATAGGGCACATATCCTTAAAATTGGTTCACCTAGCCTCTCCACATAAGGACTGATCATCCAGGAGACGGAACTATGGACACCTGACAGGGTGTCCCATGACCGGAGACTGTGTGGGCATACAGCCGTGGGCTAACGAACCTTGGAAGTCCCCCACCAAGCACACTGATACCTGGTTCCTAAACACCACCTTTCGCTCTTCTTCCTCCCTTACTTTCGCTTTTGGTTTTGATATTTGCCTCCCTTCTCTCAAACTGGTGACACAACCACCAGTTAAATGCCCCTAGGGTGGTGGCTGGTCTCAAATTTTCGGGCAGGTTCCCCGTTGGAAATCCCCTTCCGCCTTCTCCGTAAGGCTGGTCTGAATGTTTCCTTTTTCAGCGTGGCTTCCTTTCTCTTACTTTCAAGTGTATTTTGTCTGTGCCCCCCTTTCCCACCCCCTTCCTACGACATGTGAAATTTCCCATCCCACTGCAAAGAGTCCCAAATTTCAGCCCTCAAATCCCTGCTTACATCCCACGGGATTAGGATTAAACGTAGTCACCTAGAGGACTTTTGGACCGAGGCTTCGGTCCTTGCTCCGTGGATCTCCCCCGAAAACACGTGGGATCCTGACATGTGGATGTGAGTCCTCTTCCTAGCAAGGAAGTGAGAAGTTCAAGAAGGCAAAACACCACCCACCCCTTTTGTCCCTATTTTGTTGGGCATCCTCAGTTCCATTAAAGCGGGCTCTACTGAAGAGATCCTTAAATCTTTTAATGACCACTGCCAAGACCAGAAAATGGTCGCCCTTTCTATTCAGTCACCACCCACCATGCCGGAAGATGTTGATTCGGATGTGAAGAATGATTCCTTGCCCTCCCCTGCCAAACCGCCTCATTGTACAGATGTTTCCTCTCTCCACTAAGTGCCTTCA